AAAATCCATGTCCTTCTCAGAACCTCAGGATGTGACCTGATCTGGAAATAGGGATATTGCAGGTGTCATTAGTTAAGGTGAGGTCACAGTGGGGTACGGTGGGCCCTACATCCACTATGACTGGTGTTTTTATAAGAGGAGAGACCAATAATATATAGAGTTATCAAATCACTATATTCTATACCTGAGACTAATGTAACATGTGTCAACGGTACTTCAATAAAAAATAAACAAAAACAATTAACAGGGTGCCTGGGTGGCTCAGTTGGTTAAGCGACTGCCTTCGGCTCAGGTCATGATCCCAGGGTCCTGGGATCGAGTCCCGCATTGGGCTCCCTGCTCTGCGGGGAGCCTGCTTCTCTCTCTCCCACTCCCCCTGCTTGTGTTCCCTCTCTCGCTGTGTCTCTCTCTGTCAAATAAATAAATAAATAAACTAAACTAAACTAAACAAAAAAAAACAATTAACAAATAATCTTTTTAAGTGGGGGAAAGGTTGCGCAAAGACAGTGGGATACAGGTGGAGAAGGCCATGCAATGACAAAGGTGGAGAAAGGAGTGCTGCATCTACCAGCAAAGACACACCAGAAGCTAAGAGAAAGGCATGGCGCAGTCTCCCCTGGAGCCTTTAGAAAGAACATAGTGTAGCCGGCACCCTGATTTCAGCCTTCTGGCCTCCAGTGCTGTGAAAGCATACACTTATGTAGTTTTAAGCCACCAAATGTGTGTTGATTTGGGATGGCAGCCACAGGAACCTCATACACCCAGCCTTCCTTCTGATGGAGCAGGAGGGAGGCAGAGGCCCTGCACTGAGGCCCTGCACTGAGCTGTGGTCTCCAGTTCTGCATGGGCTCACTTCCATGCAGCTAAGGATGCGGAGTGTGAAGAAGAGGACACTGGGAGCCCTGAAAGCTAAGTGAGATGACTCAGTTTCCTATATGAAATTCATCCCCATCAAACCATCTTCACTAGCTAAGCACTTCATTCCCCTGTCTGTTTCCTAATCCCAGCCTTTTTGACATACAGGTGTAAGCTGCTCTGCAGAAGGACTTTTGGGGAGCAGTCCCCAGAACAGCACCTGTGAGTGGTGAAAAAAGCAGAAGTGGGCCAACAAGGATGCTGACCCACGGTACAATTGTGACAGAGGCCCTGGGTAATCCTCTGGAGCTGCAATGGCCCTGTGGAGTGTTCCCAACCAGGGCTAGTAGGCCTAGCCTTTGTACCCACCTTAGACCCACCATTGGATGCATGATGCTCACATGAAGGAGCCATAGCTTTGGTCAAGGCTGCTTCTATCAGCTATAGACAAATTCTGGTGATGGACCCAGCTGAAAGCAGCTGGGAAATGAGCACCTTGGTCCTGGATCTAGCAGGTGCACCGCAGCATCTCCCCCCCAGCCCCCTTGTATGAGTGGCAGTCCTTATGTCAAATCATCATTTGTTATTAGAATGTGGCCATGTGAGAGTCCACCTGGACTAGAATCTCCTTACTCTAGGAAAGAATCCACTCAAGGTATTGTATATTAGGTGCTCTCAAATCATGCAGATAGCGACAAATCAGAGAGGTCTCTGCGTTTCATTCTTACACACTTCCCTACACACATTTTCCATGACTACTCATTGCAATAACTCTAAAAATCTCCACTTGAAAGTGGCTTCTAATGGCATTTGGACCATGACAATTCCTCCTTTTTCTAGTGATCTATGGACAGAGAGGATAATCATCTGACTACATGGAAATTGCCACCCATTTGTTCATTTATTCATCCATTCATTTGCCAATCATCACACAGATTCAACACTTCTTCTACACTAAACAAGTACTGAGCATTCAAAAAATGAATGAGATTGTAAAAGGCCTTACCAGTCATGATAATGAGCTGGCATTTCTCAAGACACAGTCAAGGATTATGGGCAATACTGTGACTTGAATAGGTTTGGGTTACTGAAAAACCCCTCTGTTGGTGATGGAGCCGATGGATTGCTGGAAGGTTCATGGGAGGCAGTGTGCAGATAGGGGGATTTATGTATCAGTTGAAACCTTCAGACCTCCCCTGAGTCACCCATCTTCTGTCCTTCCTCTGACTAAGACCCACTCTGCTCCCAAGTCAGCTGTACTACTAACGAGCATGTGGAGAGCCTGCTTGGGTGGGAGTACTCACATTGTCCTCCTGAGCCACAAGCAGCCCGTGGGGCCCAGTCACATGCCTTTGTACGTGCCCACACACCATGTATGTGACCCCAGGTCGCAAACACTCAGTGGGAGGCACACAGCTATCCACATAGACTGGACGCCTCTAGAAAAATGAGCCCCAAGAGGACATGTGATTCCATTTTGGTTTTTCCCCTCAACAGCCTCAATAGCTTTGGGCCCATCCCTAATAGGTAAAGTAAATCTCTCAGTGGGTGGGACTTCCACATTAAATACAAATTATGGATCTAAGTGTATAACCTAGCAGTAGAGACTATATTCCAAAGAAACAAAAGGGAGAGAGTTCTTTTTTTTTTTAATTAGCCAACTATAGACTGGAAAATAGAAGAGAAAATATCATATTAATAATAATTATTCAAAGGTAATAGCTTATGTTCTTTAATGCAGTTCCAACATAAATGTCACTGTAAGAAATGATATTTCACTTCAATACTAACAAATCAGGTACTTAGTGTGCTGGGGGAGAAATGATTGGAACTACTTTAAAGCCACGTTAACCAGAGAAACTGCAAAAATATTTATATTCTTATGAAGGAAGGAAGGAATGCCCCTCGTGGGTGTACTTAAGTATCCTCCATCTTTTGGATAAATGGTAATGCTAAACAAAAAATGGAAAGATGACCTTAGAATAATAACCTCAGGACTCAATTGGGACTAAGCTTCTCAATGTACGAAAATCATATGTTCAGAATGGAAATTTCTATACTGCTTTATAGCTCATAGACTTCATTATACACCTCAAACAAAAATCACCAAAACACCCAACTCTGGGCTGGCTTCCTTCCCCTGGGGTTCCCCCCCCCAATATGTAAAATTATTCACCATCCTCTTACTCACTGTCTGCAATTCTGCTCAGTGACCTAACAATGTTTATAAGGACAGAAAAACAAAGGGAAAGAGAAAACCAATCCATTCGGAGAGGTGTTTCATATAGAGAATGGGATTGTTAAAGTAAAACCAGGTCTGGCACCATTAGGGCTTTCTCTAGTCAATTCCTTCTCCATCCTTTCCTACAAAGACCTCATGCGAAGACCATGTGGACAAATGCACAGGGCAAACACTGAGATGACACGTGAAAGCCATCCCATTGGGCAAGCTTCTTGCATTCTTTGTCATTTGTAACAGCCCCTGTGTTTGTTACATGGAAGATGGTGGGTGGGTAGGGGCCTGAAACTATGAGTCATTTAGTTTTCAAACCACAACTCCGGAAGACTTTGAGTTTCTAGTTGACTTATGGTGAATGGCATTGATGGTTATCTGACTGGAAGCTGTGAGCCTGAATTGGCACTTGGAGAAACAAAGTCAATGAAAAGTCACCAATCCAACAGATCTGTGAAGGATGCATGCAGCTGTCCTTTAAACAAGCGACTGGCCCCTATCCATTAAGAGGCACACAGCTAGAGGGATGCAAGTCTATATCCATACGACCTTAAGAGTCACAATGTTCCAAACTTATTTTTCCCAATCCTACGGGTTTTGAATGCCAAGAGACTGACCCTATTCCTGATGATGTAACTTCCAAGTCTATTCCTATCTGCATTCTCTTTTGGCCTTTACAAAACTCTTGTGCAGCGGGGAGGAAAGGAATCTTTATGGATATCAATATCTGATACATGACACACAGGTTCATAGAGGTATGTGGCTTGCAGCATTGCTGATAAGTGGAAAAGGGAGGTCTGCTGGTGCCTGATCCCATGCCCCTCCAATGATCTCTACTTACTCTGCATTGACATTCACATGGGTAAAATGGACTAATTCAATCTAATAATTTATTAATTCAGTAAGAGAACACTTATTTTTAGCAACTGCTTAAACAAATTGGCTATTTGACAGAATTAACAGGCCAAAGCTGGTGGTTCAGTAGCCCTGTGTATCAAAAAAAACTCTTGGGCCAGGTGGGAAGCTAGATAATATTCATCACCTGTCACTCCCTATATTCCGTTTGATAGCTACCAGATTTTCACAAGCACAGGACCACGTAGATGCCAAGTGCTTCCTGGCTGTTCCAGGAGAATCAAAGCCAGCACGATGAGCTTTACTGCCGGTAAGGTCCAGGTATTCTTGGGGTTGAATGGAAGGCTGTCAGCTCGCCTAACAAATTTAAAAGACTCTATTACCGTGGGAGTACTGTCACAGTGTCCCTTATTTATGCTCCTCTAGTGGGGGAGCTCTCCAGCTGCTTGTGCAGTTAATACAGCTGTAGGAAGAACATGATTTAGACGAGCCTTTCCCCAGACACCAGAGCCCGAGTCCCAGATCCACTCATGCGGGGGAGATGCATGTCAGGTACTCACTTCTGTGTACTCTGGGGACGGCAGGGTAACAGAGAGCTGCTGATTTAGATAAGCATGTAAGATAGAGGATGTAGAGCACACTATCTATGCACCAACCTATGGGCTTGATGATGCAAGGGGGGCTACTTGACTCATGCAGAGGGTAACAGGCAATCCCCATGCATAGAACAAGGCTGGGCAGAGGTTCCATAAAAGCTGGGGGCCCATGTCTCAGGGAGGCTCCCTGCCACTTGTTGGCAAGGGCAGATGATTTGAGAAACCAAGTTAGCAGGAACGTACAAACTGCTTGCAGGATCAACACAGACAGTGCCGCCAATGAAGGCAATCATTGAGCTAGTTCTGCAAGATCAGGTCGCTGGGCCAGACTACCTGGAGACTTCTTCCACTCTCGGGAGAGAAAGAAGAAATGAGTGGTCTTTGATAGCCCGCCCCCCCCCCCCCCATTACAGTAAATTGCTGCCAGACAGAAAGCATGCATATGCCGGAGCCTCACACACCTGATAGGGTCCCTGGTTGCAACCACAGTAGCTGGTCTCCATGGTGTAGCTTCTGGACACCCCCATCTCTCTCCACACCACCACCCGGGCTGTGGAGGCTCGGGATTTCTCCACGAGGAAGCTGCAGCTGCTCATTGTGAATGCTGGGGCTAGCTTATCAAGGATTTTGGGAAGAGTCTACAATAAAAAATAAAACCATGATGAGTTGGGGATGTGCATCATAAAAAATAACATCTCAACATTAAGTATCTCAGTATAACAAACACTTAATATATACTGCTGCAAATCTTACATCAACCCTAAACAATGGATACTAAGGGTTTGTTGCTTTTTGCTCTTAAATGAGGAAACTGAGACTTAGAAAAGCAAGAAAGAAATAGCATAAGTCCAACTACAAAGAGGCTGGAATGGGAGCCAAATGCCAACCTGGCCAACTCCAAAGACCACGATCTTTCAGTTCCATGTTTCAGCATCACTGTGGACGGATGTTGCATGTACATTCAGCCTCATACATCACTGAATTGAATTCCATGGAAAGCCACAGATTTCATGGGGACTGAAATTTAGAGAGTGACTCCACCCAATCTCATGGTTTTCTAGCTCTAAGTCAAACTACGGACTGTTCACTTATCCCAGATAGACAAGTCATTGATAACCACTGAGGGTTGCATATGAAGTTTCCTAAAAGAGTATGACTGCCAAAATGAACTTTCTAGTCCCATCTTTTTATTTTATTTTATTTTATTTATTCATGACAGAGAGAAAGAGAGAATGCATATGCACGAGAGACAGAGAGAGAAAGAGAGAGAGAGAGAAGTACACAAGCAGAGGAAGGGGCAGAAGGAGAGGAAGAAACAGGCTCCCCATGGAGCAGAGAGACCAGCAGGGCTCAATCCCAGGACCCTGGGATCATAACCCCAGCTGAAGGCAGATGCTTAACCAACTGAGTCACCCAGGCGCCCCTCTAGTCTCATCTTGTGATCCATAAATCTGAGGCTGGACCGGTTACAAAACTCTTAAAAATATTCCCTCTCTGGGTTCTTTATATATATATACATATGTATATATATATATATGTATATATATATATATACATATGTATATATATGTTATATATATATATTTAAGATTTTATTTATTTATTTGAGAGAGATAGAGCATACAACAGAGAACAGGGGGAGGAGCAGAGGGAGAGGGACATAATTTCCAGCAGACTCTGACCTGAGTGCAGAGCCCATGATGTGGGGCCTGATCCGAGGACCCTAAGATCATGACCTGAGCCGAAACCGAGAGTTGGATGCTTAACCGACTGAGCCACACAGGCGCCCCCCTCTCTGGGTTCTTCTATTCCACCATTTCCTAGAGTACAAAGGTTTTATGTGAGACCACTTAATCTATATTTAGAAAGCATCTGTAGATCCTTGCCACTCTCTGATTGACAGAGAGGGGGCTTCTAGTCACCAGAACTCCCCCATCCAAGAACGATGACTCAAGAACTGATAGCATATTAGGTCCTTGGGTTAGTGGAAATACTAGATCTAGATAGTCCCACATTTCTGCGATATTAGCAAGAAGGGTTCTCTACTTCACTGTTCACAGAGTATCCACAAACTAGCACATAATATAAAATTATGTACATTCGATAACAAACAGTGAAACTTGAGACTTTTGGATAAATTGTGGGGAGAAGGTGGAGCAGCAGAATGAGAATATGAATTAAGAAATTATTTTTAAAGAAATGCAATTTTGTGGGAAGCCTGGGTGGCTCAGTCCATTAAGCATCTGCCTTCAGCTCAGGTCATGATCCCAGGGTCCTAGGATCAAGTCCCGCATCGGGCTCCTTGCTCAGCAGGGAGCCTGCTTCTCCCTCTGCCTGCCACTCCCCCTGCTTGTGCTCTCTCTCTCTCCATCTCGCTCTCTGACAAATAAATTTTAAAAATCTTTAAAAAAAAGAAATGCAATTTTGTTAATTTCTAGAACATTGAGCAAATCTCTTAATATCCCTGGGTTCTTACTGTCCCCATGCTTAGTATAACTTAATTACATTAATATAAAGATTAATATAATTATTAATTATATTATAAATTACCTATAATATATGTATATGTTAACATAATTATTCATATAATTTAGTATGATCTTTATGTTCCCGCATAGCTTGCAGACCTACAGCATCATTTGAACATGGAAATTGAGCTGCTTAATGTCCTCACTTGAGTTTCCACAATTGCCCCCATAATTGATTTCATCTATCCACTCTTGTCCCTCTCTCCCTGTGATTCTTTCATCCCATTTTTCTCCTTCAAAAAATTCATCACAATTAAAGTAAAATTAATGTTCATGTAATCAGCTGTTTATTTTCTATCTCTTCTGCAGCCCAGAAGTTCCATAAGGGCAGGTCTGTGTCTCATTTACAGGAAAATCTCTACACATAAAGATGTGCAGCTCACAGAGGGCACTCCATAATTATCTGCTGAAATAAACCGAATCTGCTAGTCCACACCCTTAGAGGACTGCTTAGACATAAATATACTATTTATATATATACTGTATGTAACATACATAGTGTGTATGTATATATACATATATAGCAACTAAAGTGATTATAATACTTGAAAATAGTTTTAATTTATCAATGTTTTACCTTGCTGTAAAAAGACTAATTGGACATTATTTAAATGATTTCTCCTTTCTTTCTTAAGTGAACCTGATTTTCTTAGCTCATATAGCCCCTATGCAAATGACCACATGTTCAATTTAATGGTGTGTATCTCAGAAAGCTCTACAAGCTATGATCCCATTATTGGAGCCTGGAGGATGTAGGATTTACAAGGTGTAGTTGGAGTATCTCTCCTACATGTCCACAGCAACAGTTTATCCACTCATTAAGTAATGGACTCCAAAACTACTACAGCATTGATTAAAAAAAAGTCCTGATTCTATTTCTCTTTTGATTTCACACAAATTGATCTATGTCAGAGTGAGAAATGAAGATAATGATAGCTCTAATAGCTGGAGATTATCTTGTTCCGTTTTGTAAATGAACAAGAAATAGATGAACTCTATATATGAATTGATCCCCTGGAGCCTAGTTTCAGTGCTCCCAGGGATCTCCCATCTTGGATGGAAAAAGACTTGGGACACTCAACTCTTTCCCTCCCACTTGCTCTGTGCCCTTACACTTAATCTGGGTTTCCAAAACTTGAAAATTATAATAGATACCCTTCCACTGAACACTTACTACGTATTTTATATGCATTAACTCTTTTGAATCAAGTTCTATTATTATCTGATAATATAGAGGCCTGACGAATATCTTTTCAATGGTCACAGAGCTAGTAAGGACAAATCCAGAATGTCAACCCAGATGTTCTAATATAGATCACATTAGCTTAGTTTAACCACTGCCAAGAACTACTTCTTAAGTAGGCATTATGACCCCATGGGCGTGTAAAGGAATACAAGGAACGGATGACATAATGTACACACAGAGCATGGCCCAGGAGCTGGCATCTAGCGTGGTCTCAACACAGACCCAGCAAGGATTAAAAGACTAGACATGAAGCAGCCCTGAGAATGAGTCTTCTGCACCCCATAGACACTGATTCCCATTTGTCCAGGAGCAGCTGGGTCAAGAGCAGCCTCAGCTCATGGGGGAAGGGATGATCCTGATTCATTAATTCTGGTTTTGAGGCACTCTGTAGAAGCCTGAGTTGCATTTCAATTCATCTGCTTTCTGCTGACTCTTCCAAGCCCTGTCTAGTTTCCCAAATTCACAGAAAATATTAACTCTCAAAGATGTGCTGACTATGAACTCACCAGACAGCTCCTAGCTCAGAGCTCATTTCCAGGGAGAGGCCATCTCTGGGGCTCCGGCTCCCCATGGTCAATCCTACAGAACTCAAATGTCTTCTCTTTTCTCCAAATTAAGCATGCGGCAAGGGCATGGTTGGGACTAGGGGTCAAAAGTATGAATTCTGGAGTCACACTCTGCGGTTTGACTTGGAGCAGGTCGTTTAACTCTGCTAACCCTCATTTTTGTCATCAAAGAAGTTGGGGGGTAAGACTAGTCCCTACCTTGAGTGAGGGGGGAGGCAATCGGAACCCTCAGTAAATGTGCAGTGTTGTCATTGCGCTCTTCAGAGTGGGGTTTGCTGACGGGTGAAGGTTTAGAGGAGAGGGGAGTCATTCTGCTCAAATATTCAAACTTCCAAGATGGAAAAAACAGTTTTTCAAACCTCCCTTTGCATTGCAGATTTTTCTTCTCTTCACCGAGATAATCCCCCTGTTTACCAAGCACCCAAGGAGGCCCATTCCTGCTCTGACTGCCTCTTTCATTCTGAACTGCAGAGCAGGAGACTCACAGTTTAGTTTCTGTCTCACAGAGCACAAACTTAAGAAGACTACTGAGGTCAGAATCGGTGAACTCTGGTGCCCAGTCACCTGGGTCCCTATCCCAGCTCTTGCTACCTGTGGGACCTTTAGACATTTCAGCTCATCTCTGCATCTCCCCTCCCTCATGTGTGAAACAGGATGCTATTCAAAGTACCTGCTCACTCCACAAACATTGGTTAAGTGTATCCTATGGCTGCGCACTTTTCAAGAATACGCAGTAGTTGGGAAGATTAAAAAAATTAAATGCACACGGGGTGCTCTTAACAGTGCCTGGCACATGCTCAGCCGTGTAAGTACTACCCACAGGTGTTATCTTTGCAACTGCTTACAAATGGAAATTTATGAAGAAGATCAATGTGGGGAAATGTCACTAACAAGAGAGGCTTCCCAGGCAGAGGTGCCGAAGAACTGATTTCAAGCCACCTCTCCTCAATTCACTGTGATCCATAAGTAGCGGTTAAAATTCTTTAAGGCTCAAGTTTTAATTATCACAGGATTCATGTCATTCTATTTCTTCAGATTTCTCTTGAAATCAAGCTTAATTAAAAATTATTCATGATATTTGATTTTTTTTTTCAGGGAACATCCTAACACCACTCAGCCATATTTGCCCCTCAAACACTTGTCCATTGGGATCATCTACTCAACTCTATGCCAATAGTTAATCAATCTTTTCTGTGTTACCTCCTAATATTCCCATTCTTGTGTTTATTATTCTGTCCTTCTAAGTTTCTGATAATCTGCCTCTCTCCCCAACTCTTATTTCTTAGAAGTCCATGCTGTGCTCAGCTTCGTTACATAAATACCAAGGACAGTGCTTGGCACACGGTAGATAACAAATGTTTACTTTAAAAAATATGTATATCAGCTTTATTGAGGTAAGTGAACAGTATGATGATTTTTAGGAAATGTATACAGTTTTGCAGCCATTATCAACAATCCAGTTTTCGAACACTTTCATCACCATACAAACATGTCTTTCAAGCTCACTTCCAGTTGATCCTGTCCTCGGCAACCCCGATCTGCTTTTTTTTTTTTTTTTTAAGATTTTATTTCTTTCTTTGACAGAAAGAGACAGCGAGAGACGGAACACAAGCCGGGGGAATGGGAGAGGGAGAAGCAGGCTTCCCGTGGAGCAGGGAGCCCGATGCACGGCTCGATCCCAGGACCCTGGGATCATGACCTGAGCCAAGGCAGACGCTTAACGACTGAGCCACTCAGGCGCCCCTCTGATCTGCTTCTTAACTATAATTTTTGCCTTTTTTGGAAATGTCATGTAAATTAAACCATACATTTTTTGTTTGCTTCTGACTTCTTTTTAGGTTTACGTTGTTGTATGTAACAGTAGTTTGTCCCTTTTTATTGGGGGAGAAGCAGACTCCCCACTGAGCCAGGAACCTGATGTGGGACTGGATCCCAGGACCTGGAGATCATGACCTGAGCCAAAGGCAGACACTTAACTATCTGAGCCACCAAGGTGCCCTAGATCTTTCCACCTTTCTTATAGAAGCATTCAAAACTACAACTTTTCTCTAAGCACTATTTTAACTATATACCATATATTTCAATATACTGTATTTTTATTTTTATTCAGTTTAGGACATTTTCTAATTTCCTTCTGATTTCTTCTTTGGCCCAGGAGTTATTTTGGAGTATGTTGTTTAATTTCCAAATATTCAAACATCTCCCAGAATCTTACAAAAGTTGATTTATAATTTAATAATGTCACAGTAAGTGAACATACCTGTATGATCTGTCCTTTAAAATACACTGAGACTTGTTTTATAGGCTAGTATAAGGTCTACCTAGGGTAATTCTGATGTGGACTCAAAAACAATGTATATTTTTCTGTTTGAGAATTGTTACATATGTATCTATCAGGTCAGGTATTCTCTAGTTACTAATTTTCTGTTCTGTTGTTCTATTGCTTACTGAGAGAAGAGTATTAAAATAGCCAACTACTATTACTGAATTTTTAAAGATTTTTTTTTTTTTTTGACAGAGAGAGACATAGCGAGAGAGGGAACACAAGCAGGGGGAGTGGGAGAGGGAGAAGCAGGCTTCCCCGCAAAGCAAGGAGCCCGATGTGGGGCTCGATCCCAGGACCCTCGGATCCTGACCTGAGCCGAAGGCAGACGCTTAATGACTGAGCCACCCAGGCGCCCCTATTACTGAATTTTTAAATTTCTTCCCTCAATTCTGTCAATTTTTGCTTATGTATTTTGGGGTATACATATTCACTTACATTCATTATACCTTTTTGATTAATTATTTTATTCAGTGTTAATACTATTAATAGTATTAATTACTAGTATTACTAGAAATAGTAGTTTGGTGGATATTTATCTCTTTTAGTACTCATTAACCCAGGGAATGAAGCTGTTGTATACACAGTAAATTCATATATCCAGAATAATAAAGGATTTGGAAGAGGTAGGTACCATGATATTGTGATATTGTGATTTATAGTAAGAAATATAAATTTGCCCTTCATCCCCAGTCCCTGACATGGGGTTCCTAAAACTCTTGTAAATTCCTAAGTGATAAGAGCATTAGGAACATCTTTTGTTCTAATGAGGTGATTCTGGGTGGGCTCCTGGATCAGGCTATCCCCACTTCTCTAGAGTGGGGAGAGGAGCTGGAAAAGAGTTAATAATTGATCACAGCTACATGAAGAAGCCTCCATAAAATCCCAACAGTATGGGGTCCAGAAAGCTTCCAAGTTGGTGAACACATCCATATACCAGGAGGGTGATACCCACCCCCGACTCCACAGGGACAGAAGCTCCTGTACTTGGGACCCTCCCAGTCCTTGCCCTATGTATTCTTACCTGGCTGTTCATCTGCATTCTTTATCATACCCTTTAATAAGCCGGTAATTGTCAGTAAGTGCTTCCCTGAGCTCTGTGAGCCACTCTAGCAAATAACTGAATCCAAGGCAGTGGGGGAGGTCATGGGTCCCTCCAACTGATAGCTAAGTCAGACGGAAGTTGTGGGGAACCTGGGACCCACTACCTGGGACAGGCATCTGAAGTAGGAAGCAGTCTTGTGGGACTGAGTCCTTAAGCTGTGGGATCTGATGCTGTCTCCAGGTAGATAACTCAGGATTAAGTTAAATTGTAGGACACCCAGCTGGTGTCTCAGAAGTGCTTGGTGGGGTGAAACCCCCATATATCTGGTAACCAGAAAGTGTTCTGTGTGAAAGTAAAGGAGAAAGACACAGGAGAACTAGAGGCTTTTCCAAGCCAATAATTTTTCTTCATTTTCTATATACATTTGAAATAAAGGCCAGTTTTTATTTTGCATTGGGACAACGTTGCCTCATCTACTTCTTTCCAATTCCCTTTATCCTGACAGGAAGAAGTCCCTCCTTCTTTACCCTTTCTTAACTTCCTCTTTGGTTCAGTAGGGGAATCACTGAGCTCTAACCACTGGAACCCAGAAAAAAAACAGAATTAGCTTCAGTGGATCACTGCTCTGCTTTGTAGAGCATGCTCACACAGAGGGATGCCAGGGTCTGATGCCTTACATTTTTCCATCTCTTCATAGTTATTTAAAATCATTTCATGTTCAGTATCATTTTGTTGCTCTCATAAACATGAAACAGGAGCAGTATTTTTACTATCCTCATTTCACAGGTGATGAACGGTGGTTCAGAGAGGTGATGTTAATGACTCCTAGGCGCACAGTTAATAATTGTAAAGCCAGGCATTAAAATGAGGTTTCTTGTCTCCAATTCTTATGCCCTTTGCACTATATCATATCATATAGAAAACAAAACAGAGCAACTAGGTAGTACAGCTATTATTCATCAAAAATGTAGAGAGGTTGCACATGCCTCCAACCTGTTTGTATTATAATCCTATAGTTAAAAGAATGAAAATGCTTATTTAGGGGGAAAAAAATGGTGGAGTGTGTGTCTCAAAGGCAAGAATATGGACACAAAATGTGTTGTGTCATTCTCCCCAGTGACTTACCCTGTAGCCGATGTCTTCCAAGAGAGTCGATGTGCCCACAGTGGACTCTGCTTGCCACAAGGTCTCCTTTATGCTACAACCATAAAGGAATACATTCTTCTTTTGAGAGTGGCCATGGAAATCACAGAAGACCTACAATGGCCAAATAGTGAGGAAAAAAAAAATCCAGGTCAGGTCTATTGGTTTCTTCTCTCTTTTTTAAAGATTTTATTTATTTATTTGAGAGAGAAAGAGAGAGAGAGAACACAGGCAGAGAGGAGGGGTAGAGGGAGAGGGAGAAGCAGACTCTCCTACTGAACAGGGAGCCAAATGCGGGGCTCAATCCCAAGACCCTGGGATCATGACCTGAGCCGAAGGCAGACACTTAACTGACTAAGCTGCCCAGGCACCCCAGGTCTATTGGCTTCTTAAATGTCTAAAATGTCAACTTTCTCAGACAGATACTGTTTACTTAGCAGAACCAGTAGCATGAGGATCATTGGTGATCTTGGTAAGAGTTGTATTGGTAAAGCCAACCACCAGATCTGTGAATGAATCCATGTGGCTCAGACCCAAAGAACCACCCAGTTGACCTGGATGATTCTCACATAGTATCACTGGAAATAATGTGTAGTTTTTGCTTAAGCCACTAAGTTTTGGGGTTGTTTGGTATCTAGCAAAAGCTAACTGCCTCAATAAACTGTGTTCTTAATCTAAATATTTACTTCCCTTCCTTCCACATGTAAAATTTACTCATCTCCTCCCCAAGGAAGACTCCCTGAACAGCAGTGAATACCAGAAAAATAGCAGAAAAGCGGGATACCTGGGTAGCTCAGTCAGTTAAGCATCTGCCTTTGGACTGTATCTAATGTTTTAAAAAGATTGATTTATTTATTTGAGAGAGAGAGTGTGAGAGAGAGCAAGTATCAGAGGGGAGACGGAGAGACAGAATCTCAAGCAGACTCGATGCTGAGCACAGAGACTGATGTGGGGCTCAATCTCACAACCCTAAGATCATGGGCTGAGCGAAAATCAAGTCAGACACTTAACCAACTGAGCCACCCTGGCGCCACTGACTATATCTAATTTTTAAGTATTTCCATTTATGTGTATTTCTTGTTTGTGTCCTCTAAAAATTCTATTCCAACTCCAAGGTCATACAGAGTAGCTTATGTTGTTACCCCCAGGTCACTGTATTATTTTATCTCTCATATTATGATTCACCATCTGTGTGGAATTTATTTTTTAACATATTATGAAGTAGGGAGGTAAATTTATTTTTATTTTCTACCTTTTTTACATAGGACCATAAGCCCTCCAAGACCATCTCTTTCCCACTGCACCAGAGTATCAACTTTCTCATAAATCAAGTGACTATATATAGGAGTCCCTTTCTGAAATATGTTTTCCTCCATTGATTTATTTATGTGTTGTTTTATCAATAATACTGTGTATGAAATACTGTAACTTCAAAACAAGTTTTGATATCGCTACATAATTTGTCCAGTTTTCTCATTCTTTGTCAAGATTGCCTCAGTGATTCTTGGCCCTTTGCACTTCCAGTTTGGTTTGAGATCAGCTTGTAAGTTTCCACAAAATAAAAAAACAAAACAAAACAAAACACCCTCTATGGGTTTTGACTGAGATTGTATTGAACCCAGGTAGATAAATTTGCTGAGAATTGGCAAATTTTCATTTTTCTCAATAATGTATCCCGCACATCTTTAAAGTTAGTCTTATGAGATTAATGCTTTCTGCTATTTTTTAAAAAGATTTTACTTATTTATTTGTCAGAGAGAGAGAGCACAAGCAGGGGGAGTGGCAGGCAGAGGGAGAGGGAGAAGCAGACCTCCTGCGTAGCAGGGAGCCTGATGCGGGGCTTGATCCCAAGACCCTGAGATCATGACCTGAGCCAAAGGCAGACCCTTAACCGACTGAGCTGCCCAGGTGTCTGCTTTTCTGCTATTTAAATCCTATTTTTAAATTTAGATTTTTATTTGTACACTGATAGGTTATATAGGTGGACTTAACTTTTAGATATTGACATTCGAACCTCTGATTTTCTATGTTACAAAGACACTATGAAGAATGAGAAAAGGCAAACCAAGGAGTGAAAAAAACCTATTTGTAATACATATATCCAATAAATAAATATATATATTTCTGTACATCAACAAAGAAAAGAGCGACAACCCATTTTTTTTAAATGGGCAAAAATCTTCAACTGATATTTCACAAAAGAGAATGTCCAAATGGCTATTAAGCAAATGAAAGTGTACTCAACCTCATTAATGTCAAGAAAATATAATTTGCATACCACAATGAGATGCCACTGTATCTAAGGGGTTATTAGGATGCTAATAACATCATGAAGACAGACAATGCCAAGTGGTGACCACAGTACAGAAGAAACAGAACACTTGAATCCAGTTTGTGGACAATAAATTGATAACGCTCCTTTGGAAAACAATTTGGGAATGTCTTCTAAAGCTGAATATTCACATATTCTAGAAACCTCCCAGCAGAAGTGTATACACGGAGCACCAGAAGATATCAAGAATGCTGAGAACTTGCCTAATCTGGGGAATGAAACAGAAGATATCAAGATATCAAGAATGTACATAGCAGCACTATTTTTACTAGCTTAAAACTGTAAACAGTATAATGGACTGATTTTCTGGAAACAAGTTGGTTACAGGACAAGGAGGGGTGACTTAATTGGGAGCCAGAAGGCAAGGTTTTGGACAGACCAAGTATGTATGAGATGAGGGTTTTAAGGACTAACGGACCTGAAATTATTCTGTATGTTCACCTTCCTGTCCTCCCTCTCTTTCTCCTAATTGTCAATAATAGACAGCTACTACTACATCGGGCTGGTGGGGCGATGACTTTAAATTACATTGTAAATTCCCTGTTAGCAGAAAAGTATTTAAGTATTTTTTTTCTCTCCAAAAAAACAAGAAAAGAATTTTATTTTTTTTTATGTGGAATCTTTTATTCTTGTTTCAGGTTGAAGTCTTATGAGAAAATAAATCTCCCCAAGCTTCTAGATATCACTGAGCTGCGGGTACCAGAGCCAAAATGATAAGCAGATTTGGGAGGAGAGAGCCGGTCCAATGACAAGTCAAACCCCACACAAAACACAGAATGAAAGCACAGAAACAGTGAATGAGCACAGTAAGTCATTCCCTAAGGAGTGCAGTCATCAAGAAAATGCACAGAGAAAAGCAGAAAACAGAAAATGTGGGGGTAGAAAGAGAAACATGAGAAATGGGAAGAAGAATGGTCCAGGCTTCTGGTGCTTTCCATTCCTATAAGATTATAGGACTTCTTTCTTCAAAACTCTCCATCTTACTACTTGGGTTGCTTTTTTTGTTTTTCTCCTACAACTTTTTTTAAAATTTTTTAAATTAACATATAATATATTATTTGTTTCAGGGGTACAGGTCTGTGATTCATCAGTTTTACACAATTCATAGGGCTCACCATAGTACTTACCTTCCCCAATGTCCATCACCCAGCCACCCCATCCCTCCCATCCCCCTCCACTCCAGAACCCTCAGTTTGTTTCCTGAGGTTAACAGTCTCTTATGGTTTGTCTCCCTCTCTGGTTTCGTCTTGTTTCATTTTTCCCTCCCTTCCCCTATGATCCTCTGTCTTGTTTCTCAAATTCCTCGTATCAGTGAAATCATATGATACTTGTCTTTCTCTGACTGACTTATTTTGCTTAGCATAGTACTCTCTAGTTCCATCCACATCATTGCAAATGGCAAGATTTCATTTTTTGATGGCTGCATAATATTCCATTGTATATATATACCACATCTTCTTTATCCATTCATCTGTTGATGGACATACATCTAGGCTCTTTCCATAGATTGGCTATTGTGGACATTGCTGCTATAAACATTGGGGTGCACAAGCCCCTTCAGATCATTTGTATCTTTGGGGTAAATACCCAGTAGTGCAACTGCTGGGTCATAGGATAAATCTATTTTCAACTTTTTGAGGAACTTCCAAACTATTTTTCAGAGTGGCTGTACCAGCTTGCATTCTTTAAGCAAGACTCTGTTATTTCCAACAAATATATCCCCTTGGCCAGTGTTTCTCCAACCTGTCTCAGCACTAAAATTTCCTGAGGAGTTTATAAAAATATCAATGCCTGGAGCCCACCTCCAGAAATTTTTATTTAATTGGTCTGCAGTGACACCAGAGCTGTGGGATTTTTTTAAGTTTTCCAGGTGATTCCAATGTGCAGCCAGGGCTGAAAACCACTCTGTTCCTGTCAAGAATTTAGAGCACTGGATCTCATATGTGATTGAATGTTAGAATAGCCTGGAAGACTTGCCAAAGTACAGACTGTAAACCCTCCCCAGCAATTCTGCAATTCAAGTAAGTCAGCGGTAGGCCCCGGGAATTTGCATTTCTAGCAAGTCCTTGGTGATGCTGATACCTTGGACCTAAGCCCAAGCTTTGGAAGTCTCTAGCCTAAAGGAACCAATAGAACTGTTAGAGGTTTAATCCTCTACCATCATGAATTTGCCACCAACCTTTATCTCTTACACCTCAGTGTCTCTCTGTGAATTAAACACCCACCATTCTTGTGAAAAGTGTGCAAACAAATTAAAGCTGTGTCTTAGCAACAGATTTCTCAATAAAGCCAGAAGCTTTGCCTTCGTGGTGACAGGTACTCCTTAAATGCTGAATTCAACTGAAGAAAAGAGTTTTCTTTTTTTCTGATCCTTACAAACTCTGGAAGCTGAGGTAAATGATAAGAGCATAGACCTATTCACCTGTGGGAATGAGCACTGCTTAGCCCTGGGACTTCTAGTGGCTTCTGGAGATTCAAAACAGAGGAGGTGCCAACATTGTCCTGCTTTTTGCTCAAATGACATCCCTAAAAATAAATGCTCGTTAATTATAAGAAACATGCATTCCTCTAAATTATAGGGGGCAATTACAAGACAAGTTATCAAGTTATTTCTGTTGATGGAGCTTTTTCTTTCCTATGGGAAGATGTAACATTTATGCTTCCTTTCAGTAAAATTCTGTGCCAGGTGGGTAGGAAGTGTGCCCAGTGATGGCACTCTAATGTCCACAGGCTAACCTATGGTCCTATCTTGCTTATTCATCGACTGATTCAGCAAATATTT